AAGATCAAATGCTTAGCCCTCCTAGGCACTTACATCTCCCAAGGCCTGGATTATTGTTGTGAGGTTTGAAGATGATCGAGTAAGCTGTGGGTAATATACAGCTGTTTTTAGCAATCTACCGTCCCACAAAATTTCAAAAATGATATCTCAAAAACCAGACTGCTAACAAACAGACGGACAGACAAACAAACGCAATTGATTACATACTCCCTCGCTTTAGCTGGAGAACAATACATCCTGATGGACACAGGACAGAAATTGACAGAGGACAATAGAAACACCATTTAAAAAAATATTTTAATTAAGAACAAGAATAAAATATATAAATATTAACAATACAAATAAGATTACGGCTATTTACTCACACTGAAGTAGCCCACATTAACAATGACATTTGGATGAAGAATGAATTTTCCATGTTTTGGTTTGCTCTTAATTTCTTCATCCAGACATACCTTAAAGATATAATTATAGACTCATAACCAAAGTTATGCGAAACAAAAGACCTAATTAAAATAAGTTAAAATATATAATTGTGCAGATTTTTGCAAAGTTGGGTTTTTACTTTCTCAGCACGACACACTCTCTTACACCAGTTACTGTATATCCAAAAATGTATTCTCAGTGCCAACTATGTGCCTCTGATAGAAACCTTTCACCCTATTTTCTAAGTAAACCGGTGGCTGTAAAATTAAAGGAAAAACAACGGAAAAATACACAAAATATGTAATTTTATATTACCCAAGGCAGACTAACTGTTTATAAAATGGCTCTGTTATGATACCATATGGGATTCACAATCGTTTACCCAGAGTTAAAACTACCTGGAGAAAGATAGTTAATAGGTGTCATTACACAATGACTATATTAGTCTTATAAAAATACAAAAAAATTAAAATAAGACTGTTGCTGAGCTAGTGTCTCTAAGGCTGGTTTTATGGTCACAAATGTGTCCATCTGCGTACAGCTTTTGGTCAAATAGGGGGTTTTTCCCCCATCCAAGACGCTCTCCTGTGCAGTCCTTTGAGATCTAGACTGCACGTTGCTGTAAGTGGATGATATTTGAAACTGCAGAATGTAGACTGGTTGACAAGTGGGCTGGACTAGAGAAGGGAGCAATAGAAGAGTTCACCAGGAATGGGAGAACCTCGAAAAATGACTAAAACAATAAAGCACAAATAGCACAGACAGTGGCTGCAGTGATATTTTCATAGTTTTTAACACTCGGTTTCACTTCAGCTCTCTGTATGTAAAAAATTTGCTCACAGACAAACAAAAGTAGCCCGCACAATGGCGGTAACATACCTTGTACACTGCCTCCATCTGACAACAGCGCTCACTGCAGGTGGATGGGCAGTCCCTGGATTGGATCATGCTACCTCTGCTCAACCATAAAACCAACTTAAACCTAGGAAGCTGTACTAAAGCTAAATGTCAATATTAGCATGCTAACCAATATGTTTATATATATTTACATTAATTTGGTGTGTCAGAATGCTAACTATGTATGTTAACATTCTAGCTAATATATTTATGCTTATGTGTTAGTTTGGTAATTAGCAAGCTAACTAAGGCGTTAACCATATGTTTGTGTGTCAATTAGGTGATTTAGCATCCTAACTTATGTCTTAACCACATTTTTGGATGTCAATTTAATGTGTCAGAATGCTAACTAATGTATTAACCATATATTCACGTTAGTTTGGTGTGTTAGCATGCCAGTATTTGGCATTAAAGCTACACTGGAATGTCTTTAGTTTTACTGGTGCTTTGACAGAAATTAGACTAACATAAAATATACAATAAACATTGACAGCAATGCATAAATGTAGAAGAATAATACATCTGTATAGTTCTGAAAGAAAAATCAAAACAACAAACACAAATAATGAACTGACAATCACTGAGGGATTTTTCTGGTTCAGTAGACAGAGCTGGTCTAGTTTTAGCTTTAATTAAGGATCTATCTGTCTATCTTTGTAATTGCTGTTGTGCTATATCCATACAGACTGTATATGAGAGATGGATGTAACCTCCGAATTTGAAATTTGAAGCCAAAACCAGTGTTGCCAACTCCTCAGTAAGGAAAATCGCTATTGGCTGTCCTAAAAGTTGCTAGAAGTTGCTAAATAACGTCATTGCCTAATTTGCACAATTGGTCATGCTTATGTAATTGTAACCTATTTCGTAGGAGAGAGAAATATCGTGGAAGAGACAGAGTGAGTAAAAAACACAATAAATGAATTTAGAATATATTTAGAACTACAAATTAAATTTCTTTTAGCAATTATTGTTTTTTT